ATATGTAATTATTATTAGTCCGGGCACTTGTTTGTAATTATTTTCACTTTCCGGGCATCTATATGTAAATTTCCCTATATTTTATAGTTATCGCATTACCGTATTGCTGTATTGATTTAAAAGTCAGATATTTGAGTGCCAAAGAAAAGTTTGATTTTGCCGAGCACTAATTAATCCACCATGTCTGTCAAAACCAGTATGCATGGTTGACAAATTTTACATCAGCTTTAAAAGGTTATCAGTTTAAAGGGGTTAAAATTACTATATTAGAAACAGATATGGTGAATTAATTTATTATCGATTTTGACAGGTTATCGGTTTTAACAGGCTGTCTTATAATAGTTTTAACCTCTTAAAGCTGATAATCTTCTAAAGCTGATGTAAAATTTGTCTAAAATGCATACTGATTTTTGAAAGGGTATACTGGATTAAATTATCTCAGTTAGCAAATTAAATTCAATTTTACATATCGCTATATCGAAACAACTTTGTACAAATTACACAATCAGACAACAATCAGGTGATTGTATATGTGAGCTGCGATCTGCGAAATTCGATCAAACTATTAAGTTAACAAAAATGTGGCAAGATACATCAACCGATATTACGATTAGCAAAATGGAAACTGCCTCTACCTCCCACAGCAGCTAATAGCACCCAGAAATGATGAAAATCATCCGATTACTACATCCAATCAGATTTAAGATTTTATGGGCGAACACAAAACTCAAATATAAACTATATAGCCATATACTACGTTTTCATGGTACGCATGCAACAGTGAAAGGTTCAGCAATTATTTGTATGTTGTACAAAGCTCAAATAGTTTGTTGTATATAGAATATTTTGTTTTTAATATCCAGCCTTGTTTGGTTTGTGTGTATCATCTTTTCATTGAGAGGGATGTCCTAAATTAATTTAACTAATTTTATCGTGTTGGAAATCTGTTTTGAGGTTTATGTTCTCATGAGAGCAAATTTATTTAATGTTCTCGGAAATTTATTTGTTCTCAACAGTAAAGTTTATTTATATCCCTATTTTTAAAATTCTTATTCGGAAAATATCGGACATTTATCCCAACCTTCTTCGTCTTTTATATTCATTCATTTCCTTTTCGGACGGTTTCGGAACTTCACTCGATTCTAATTTTATTTCCATCTGCCATTATGCTATCATACTTATATAAAGATGATATTTTTAGAGTACAATGTTCTCAATTTTTTTTTTTTTTTTTTTTTTTTTTTTTTTTCGTAGAGAACATTTACAAATTATCAAATGTTCTCAGATCTAAAGGTATGAGTACATAGGATTTCTAACACTGATTTTATCCATTAACCCTTCAAATAATAATATATATTTATTGCATGTGAACTATTGTAACGATTAATTTTTTCCTGTGTCTCCGTATTTGTCTAATTATTTAAGTCATCACTTACCTTCCATAATTGTACTATCATAGTCATGCTAATCTTACCTTAGTAGTATTAGGCATTATTATGTATTCTTGGTAGCTTACGCTCAAAATAGCGCGTATACGCGATTGCATAAACTTGTAACCATTGCGCCTTGGTCAAATGTGGAATCTACAGCGTAAGCGTTGAGATCACTGTGTTGACAATCTGTAAAATTAGAATGTATACAAGAATGTGTCTTCATCCTTCGAATGCCATATTTATTGCCAAATTCATGTGACCTCTTTAACGGCAACCATCTGAGTTAAACTCGACATGACGATGGTTACACTATGAATAACGATTTTATTCAATGAGTTTACTATTTCAGTTCTGTATTTGGCAGGTAATCATAAATATTATAGTTCATTTCATCAGATCATTTTTATAAACTAATCATCAATCTCCTAATATATCCATGTTTATACCACCTAAATTTCATATTTCCATAAAATTGTATACGATACTGGTTAAAGGACCGAACCCTATTTGGATTCTTTTAAAATTCTCAATATGTTTATTATTATTTTCAGAAAATATATAAAAACTGTTCAAAACCAAAATCATAAATCAGCTTTGCCATTATGTATACAATCTTAATAATTTCTCTTGCTTTATTTGTTTTCTCTTGTTGGTTTATATTCCGAAACTGCAGCAATGATTTGTTGAAAATGTTTCCAGCTCTTGTAAACAATACTTTTCCGTGGATTGGAAAAAAAATCACGTACGTATATATATTTAAATTATTAAGTTTTTTTCCTTAATAAATTATAATGATAGGCACCTAATTAAATTTTATTTTATATAAAGAGATCTTCAAAGACTAATTTATCCACCAATATACATAGTTCTGAATGAATGGAGTAGTTTGCTAGTTTCGAAAGTAATTTACGAACTTACAAAACTTGAAATTGCAGATATTATTAAAACTCAAGGCGGAGAAATGAATATAAGTGAGATTGCTAAAATAACTGGAACTAATGAAGATAAATTAAGTAATTATCTGAAAAGTATATAATACACCGGTAGCAAGTTTATTTCAATTTCAGAAATATGCAAATTTTTTTTTCAATAGATCGTCTCCTCCGTGTTGCAACATCAAAAGGTATATTTCGTGTTCTTGATAATGGAGTATATGCTAATAATCACCAATCAATAGTGTTATGTAAAGACCACCCAAACACAATTAGAAATTTTATTTTGATATATGAAGAAATTTCTTCAGCAGCTAACTATTTAGCCTATGATTTGAAATTACAAACTGATAATAAAAAGGAGCAAATGACTTCATTCGCAAAAGCTCATAATGGCATAGAATTATATGAATGGTTGTCATTACCTGAGAATAAAGAAAGATTTGAAAGTTTTAATAAGGGAATGGTTGAACAAGATAATATAAGTGGCAAAGGTCTTTATCAAGGTTTGTGAAAGAAAAAAAAACCATTCTTTTTAAAGTATTCGTTGTTAATATGAATTATCATTAATAACAGATATGATTATATTAATTTAACCTTTTTTAAATAAAGATTATGATTGGTCACAGTATTGTAATGCAAAATTTGTAGATGTCGCTGGTGGGATTGGAGGTTTTTTGTCTCATTTGTTAACGTGTTATCCAACAATGAAAGGTGTTCTTTATGAACTTCCTAGCGTTATTGAAATGTCTGAACAGGTTTGATATTTAACAAATTTTCTTAATTTACAAAAATATAGACTTATAATAATGTTGTTCTATTAAGGTATGGTTGACAAAACATAAACAATTGTTAAACAGAGTTCAATTTGTTCGAGGTATTTGTTTAATTTACATCATATAGAATTCTATTAGATTTCTCATGTTAATTGCTCATAATTATATTATTCTTTATTATTATGAAGGTGATTTCTTTATAAACCCTCCTCCGCCTGCCGATATTTATTTTCTACGCTCCATACTTCATAATTGGCCTGACGAACAAGTCATCAAAATCCTTAAAACAATTCGTTCTGCCATTCCTTTAACCAATTCTAGTTCATCTTATAATGAAACGACTTCAAATTTCAAGCCAAAGCTTCTTATAGCTGATAGAGTGATCAATGATCAAAGTCCGTCTTTTATATATCAAATGGACTTAATAATGATGTGTTTGTGTAATGGCAAAGAAAGAACAAAATCAGAAATGGAAAAACTTTTGGATGAATCTGGATGGAAATTTACAAAAATTACTTGTTGTAGAGGTGGATTTAGTGTTATTGAAGCGGTTCCATTATAATTTCAAAAAAAAACCAAAAAAAAACAATATAATAAAATAAAATAAAGCAAACTCAATATCCAGAAGAATATTAAATGTAGTCAACACTTTCTACATCAAACTGCTGTTCTAGCAGTTTTTTGATCCATACACTCTTTTTTATATATATTCTTATACCTTTGATTCGTCACTATTCTAAATCTAATAAATGAAAATTGAATTCATAACGACTTTTATACGATATTAACTGCTATATATTAATTAATAATTTAAGTTTCTGTTTTTCAAAAAAATTAAAATTTGACTTCTGTGACAATAGTCAAATCCATTATCTAATATATCTTACAATTGTAGTACTTAATTACTACTTACTATATATATAGTAATTAAGCTATTATTCGTACATACTATATATTACAGGATAATATTTAGTTAAAATATATATAATTTTTTTAATAAACGTATAATAGATTCTAATATTTTTGTCATAGCAGTATAAATAATATTTTTTGCTAAAGTTTAAAAAATAAATTTATAAATGCAGGTGACCTTTGTTAATATTGAAAACTGTGAAACGGCGAGTCGGTCGCTAATCGATCCGAGGCTTCGTGTAACCTACGATCGGCTTAGTCGAGAAGAGGCGTTTAGATTT